GGCAGCCTACAGGTATCTTTGCCCCCCTCCTTTTCAGCAGAGCCACTGCATTAAAAAAGGGTATAACGTCATCCATTTTAAATCTGCTTTTTAATTGTAATCCCAAGTTCTCTTGTTCTTAGACAATGCAGCTGGGTACACAGAAATGCCCAGATGATCATCACAATGCCAGTATTTTATACACCTCTGCCATACTCTTCATTTTGCCAGATTGAATTAGCCTTGTCGCTTTTATTCTCTCCGAGTATAGAAGCTGCCTTCCCGCCTCAGACCACATCTCCTTCTCAGACACAACGTCCTATAATAATGTTGATTGCTCTTCAGCTGGCTTTTCCTATTTCTGCTTAGTCTCCTCTGCAAGAGATGGTGGTTTATCCTGCTCCCAGTGAACTTAATGCCAAAACTCCCAGTGACTTCAATAGCAACATAGCCAGGACAGAGACATCGGAAAATGAACACAGGCTGCATTTCAGCAGAGCTTCTGCACTAGAATGCTGCATTCATATTACATTTGCTATGTTCTTTTCTACCCTTTTTTTCAGTGCACTTCTGCACCCTGTTCATCATGGGCAGACACCTTCATTGATCCAAAATAACTGCCGAGTCTTTTTCCCTCAGAGAATCAGGTCCAGAAGCATACAGGAGATGCCCTTACCATTCCTGAGGGCATTCCCTTGCCTTTCCCTTGGACAACAGCTCCCAAACTGGAATCCGCGAGGGTACTCCGGGGGTCTGAGAGTCATGTCTGGGGCCATTTGTCTCACTGATTAACTCCTCCCCTTCCCTCCCAGTGCCTCCTACATGCCCTTGAGATGTTCAGCAGTGTGCAGGAGGCACTGGAAGGGAGGAGGAGGTGTGAGGACAGGGTGTAATTCAGGGGAAGCAGGGGAAAGAGGTGGGGAAGAAGAGGGGCAGGGTGGAGGGGAGGTGGGGAAAGGTGGGATGAGGGTGGGGGAGAGACATGGGGTTGAGCAGATATTGATCATCCCAGGGGAAATTAGCTTGTGGGGGGGGGCATGAAAACTTTAAAATCAAAATGGGGGTCCCTGAGTTGCTAAAGTTTGAGATCCGCTGCTCTAGGGGAATGCACCAGGGTTGGCAAACATGCTCCTTATGTCTCAAGGATCAGGGTTCAGGAGAGTTACTGGCAGAGCATGGTCATTTTTAGGGAAGGGTCACTCACCGCATAATTGCAAAGACTCCCAATGGTGACAGTAGCATGTGGTAGGCACAGCAGCATTAGGATTATAAGACCTTTCAGGCAATGTTACAGTTGGTCATAAACATCTCTCACTGTAAAACAGCATTCCCACCCTTGCCCTAGCCTGGTGAAAGTGGGTGAGGGTGGAGGAGAGAGTGTGATGGAGGGGGGATGGAGGAAGTAGCTTACAGGGTCTCAGAGACGGATGGGTCATGGCCTCAGGGAAGGGGCGGTGCAGGGAGCTGCCCTGTGCGGTTTTGGGCTTGCCTGTTTAGACAGTTGGCAACCCTACCGGGTGGGCATACGGAACCACCCAGCCAGTGGCTTTCTGGACACCAGCCAGCGCAGGTGCAGCACTGCCCAAACATCAGGCAGAGAGTGTCTGTACAGGCATGGCTTGTATGTGTTGGTGTTCTGCCCTGAGGCTGGGTGTTGTCATCGGCGGGTGTGGCTGTAAGCTCTGTGGAGCAGGTGTTCTTTCTCCTTTTGCCTAGCAAAACAAGGGCCCTTTCTTGGTGGAAATCTCTTGAAGTTCCAGGAATAGAAATAATGCTCGATTGATTTAATATCAAGACACTTACAATGCAGGCAAGTCCCATAGAGAGCAAATGTTGCCCTTTTGGATATGTGCAAATAGACACTTTTCCTGAGACAAGCAAGGGAAATCTCCACCCCAGGGATCCATCAATGTGGTGTGCACATAACAGAGCCACCACTAGCCAGCACTGCTCCCTCGTGATTCCTGCAGAGCAACTCTGCTGAGCCGTTTTGTTCTCCCAGAAAGCTTTAAAACCAGAAGCCAATGAAACCTCACCACACCGTAAGGGGGGAGGGGAATTATCACAGAGGAGGAGAATGAAGCAGTTTGTGGCTGAAGGGAGAACACAAGCCTCCTCATTGCCTGTGTGATGCTACAGTTACAGATTGTTGTTCTTCTGCAATTCAATAGGCTTCACTCACACCCAGTACTGACTCTCAGCACTCCTACAGAGTGGTCTTTTGAATGAGTACCTGGTCCTGACTAGGTGCGGTTATTATTCCCATTTTATGAGAGATGGAATATTAGCCCAAATGCCACTGAGACAGTTACATTCGGCCTCTCTAAATACCGCCTTGCCATTGCAGTGGTTGGGCATTTTGAGGCAGGCCAAGAGATACAGCCACACACTTCCATGGAAGGAGGTGGATGTTGTGAGGCTAAATTAATTGTGCTTCTTTGCAAATCTCATCCAGTGTTCTTCCCGCTCCATCCTGAAGAGTTGTTCACTGTTGCTGTATACTGCTAAACAATTGCCTCACCCCAGTGGTAGGCAAAGTGATCCCTGCATGAAAAGGTTTAGGGACCCCTTTGGAGGTAAATATCAGCCATTACTTTTATTCTTATGCCACAGAAGGCAAGAAGAACTCACTTCCGTGAGGCTTAAACTCAGTCTTTGGATTGTCACTGCCCACTTTTCCAGCCTCTCATTTTTTTTCTGCTTGTCATTTTCCCCAGAAAGTCTCCGACCCTTCACGGTTCCATTATAAAACCACAAGAGTGACTCTGTAGTTAAGGTTGTAATTTTCCACGGCAATTCTAATTTTGATTTGCCATCCTTCAGCTTCCTCAAAAAAAAAAAAATCTGCCAGACATTTCTCTTGTGTAATCTCTGGAGAGATGAGGGGTTTTTTTGGACTTAGCGAATGGGAGAACTGATTGCATGGTTCGCCTAAGGCATCAGTTGCTGGCAGCTAGTCTATGGCCGCCCCTGGCCCCAAGATCACTGCCCTCTGTGGTTTCACTAACAGCTACAGCAGACCTTGATTCACTAGGCCCCTGCTTCTCCTATGAATGGGCCCTGGCTCTGTGAGAAGAGGAGAGGGCTGCACAGATCGGCACTTCATAACGTGAAATCAGTCATTGGCACCTCCTGGCAACCAGTAAATTGCTCATGAAAAAATAATCACTTGCAGGTAGATGGCAGCGGTGATGTTTGCCCCGGCTCCGTGATATATGGAGTCTCAAAGTGTGCCAGACCTTGCGGGAGAGAGGCGGTGCTTAAGGCACGCAGGAGAGCTTCAGCAAACACCGATACAATTTGAGCAAGGACCCCAGTGGAATGGAGAGCCTTTCATCTCCAGAAGGCAACCATCTGTTCTTGAGGTTAACTATTAGTCAAAGGCAGAGGCCAGAGAAAGGCAGCAGAGAGATCTAGGGATGGAGCTGTCCTTGTCACACCCCATTCTGAGGTGCGAAGGGGTGTGAGAGGAGGAGAAGGGGGGGAGCAAGAAAAAAATAACTTTACTTCCTAAGGGTATGTATACACTACCACCTTAGTTCGAACTAGGGTGGTTAATGTAGGCAACTGCAGTTGCAAATGAAGCCCGGGATTTGAATTTCCCGGGTTTCATTTGCATATTGCCGGGCGCCGCCATTTTTAAATGTCTGCTAGTTCGGACTCCGTGCCCGCGGCTACACGCGGCACGAACTAGGTAGTTCGGATTAGGCTTCCTATTCCGAACTACCGTTACTCCTCGTGGTAGTGTAGACATACCCTAAGTGATAAATCTCCAGGGGGAGACTGGCTGTGTGGTGGGGTGGCACTTGGGTGGATTTGTACATTTGGCTAAGACAACCCTTCCAAGTGCACATCCTGCAAATCCAGGGGCTGAGCTAGAGAAACTGCCAGAGCCATGGGAAGTTTGTGGAGGTTTCTCTCCCCTCCCAGAAAGGTCTGGTGAGGCAGGGAAAAGCCACAGTGCAGCATCTCACTGGGAGTCCAAAGGAGGACACAGCCACCTGTAAGTAAGGGTTGTTACTGTGGCTCCCTCCTCTGCCCCTTTTCCTCTCACTCTCTCTTTTCCACAGTGATCAGGTTCCTGAGGGGAAGAGCCGCAGTTCAATTACTGAGCCCAGGAGCACAGAGACTCGGAGCACCCAGCAGCAAGGGATACTGCAGCAGGCACTTGCTGAATGGCACAGTGATCCCAAGGCTGAGTCTGGAGTCTGGCTTTCCCAGAGGGCAGAACACAGCAATGGCCGGAAGAGAAATTCTGCAGCTGAGAAAAGGCCTGGACCAT